TTAGAAAACTCTAAATAAGCTTAAAATGACCCTAGAACACTGTCCAACCTACCCCAAGTAAACCCGAAGGATTGAATCGAAACGAGCGAGGAAAACGGGCGGAGAAGAAGCTGGAACGTCCGGTCTGAGTAAGCAGACCGTTCGTTCCAGGCCAAGCGGAACGTCCGTTCCGCATACCCAGACCGTCGGGTCTGACGGTCTTAGCCAGGTCACGCGCCGCCTCTCTCCTTACTGCTGAGTCACGGCCGCAGTTTCAGGCCTTCCTCCAGTGCATGACACCTTCTGCTTGTTCCGGGACACCTTCTGCTTCCTCTGGGACGCGAGGTTTCGCCCAAGTCCGCCCATTCTTCGGCCACTCCGCTCTTACTTTCTCTCTCACTCCCACAAACTCTCTCAAAAATCCGAAAACTTTGGGCTTCGATTGGAGCTTCGATTTCGGTCGAAATCGATCAATAATTACGGAAATCAACCCTACAGAACATCCCCAAACACAACCCCAAGCTCGAATTTGAGCTAGGTGAGTGTTTTGGATTAAGCCCGAATATGATAATCAAATTGAAAATGGAGATTTGCTTGCTTTGAGTGGAAATTGCATGAAAGTGATTATAGATTTGAGTTCCCCATGAACTACTGATTGTCTTGAGCTATAGTTTGTTGAATTTGGTGCGAAAACATGGAACCCGAGATTTTTCGGAGCATTAGACCGGATGAACCACTAGTTGACCGTCCGTTCTAGGGTTGCCGGGTTTCGAGGAAGAAGACGAAGCTGGACCGTCCGGTCCATGTGCGGAATGTCCGTTCCGCATACCCTGGACCGTCCGTTCCAGCTTAAACAGACCGAATGGACCGGGCCATCCAGACCGTCCGTTCCGGATGGGGCAGACCGTCTGTTCCGGACCTCTGTCTCCCCGTCTTGGCTCGTTTCTTCGGATCGAGCGGGATCCGATGCTACCGACCCCTATACGTGACCTACCCTGACACCATTCCCTATCTGAATCTCATGAAACTCGAATGAAATCAACCTACGGTAAGTAAAACCTTCGGAACGAGTTGAATTGGTAATCCGAGATGGTCGGAACCCAATTTGATTGGATCGGAGGATAAAAGAATAAAGTGAATATAATGGAATTGACATACCGGAATAACAAGTCAAGGCGTGTATATATATGAATAAAAGTATAATCTCGTATGAATGTGTGTGATTGGGAAACCGGGTAGATGGCATGGCGTAAGACTTTATTCCGGAGGGCCGGGATAAGGCTGAGCGTGTGATTGTAGCGGGTTTGAGGTGATATCCCGATGGTTGCATTGTTTGAGATCTCCTCTTTGTGATCTCCGACCCGGGTCAGATTTCATATTGAGGAGGCATGATTGTGATTGGTTGCCTACGAGCAGAGCTTGGAGCCGATGATACACGTGATAGTCTTGAGCGATTCGGCTATCACGGGGTTGAGGAAATCCTACGGTTACTCTGTAACCGCGCCAACGTTCCACTAGCTATGGAACGGGATCGGGATTGAGTGATTCTCCCGGTAGAGACTGGCAACACATTTACCCGTGACTCGGGATTGAGCGATTCTCCCGACGAGGTTGTGCGGAAAGACTCTGAAAGACCTGAGCTCGGGTCTGATGAGTTTATCTGTGGCGGACGGCCGGCGAAAGGTTGTCAGTTGTGTATTGACTTCGCTCGACATAGTCGGTGGTGACCTGGAGGAGGCATCTGGTGCTCTGGTATCGAGAGGTGACATCGATATCAGAGGGGATGGTTGATGTGTTATGTTTTATGGAGTGGGGAACTGGGTGACGTGTTTTTATTATTTCGCATTTGCCGAGGAGAGCGGGGGATGTGCGTTGCACATGGAGAGGCCTTACCCACGGGTGTGATGCACATGTGGAGATGATTTGACGGTACTGATGTTACTGAGAGACCCGATGGGTCGAGCTATGACTGGTATATATTTCCTGATCTGGTGTTACCATATCCTTGCGGTGTCCTATGTGTGTGATGCAAATAGAGAGGATTTGACGGTTGTGTCCGATAGCTTGTCTTTTGGACTGCGTGTGTTTGATAGATGATTACTTGTGCGATTGAGTGGACTTGTTTTACAGCATGCAGTATGTATATATGTTATACACTTATATCTAGTGTGTGCATAATAATGGTTGTGCTTGGCATTTGCAATTTGAGTATGACGGGTTTAACCCGAAGTACTCACTAAGCACGTGCTTATGGACGTTGTTATGCAACGTTTCAGGCGCGGGGCAATATTGGCAGCGGCAGGACGAGGGTACTGGTGACGCGTGAGGAGTTTTCTGGATCATGTACTTTTCTTTCCTCGGACTTATGTTGGTTTGTTACTGACGGTGACTTGACTTTGTGTTATATCGTATTCACCGTCTATGTATTATGGTGTGTATACTACTGTACGTGGGTATGCGTTATGTAAACTTATTTCCGCTGCGTATGTATAAAAATAAAATGTTGTAAAATTCCCGCTATTTTAATATATGGTTTGAGTGTCCATGTGTCGCAACTCGTGGATGGGATACGGGTTACAGGCGTCACATTTATGATTTAAATTAAAATAAATTTGTGTGTTTAAAATTTAATTACTAATAGTAAAAATCAGGAAAATTGTAAATATATATAGACTATTTACAACTAATACATTCATATATATATAAAGACATGCATATAATTTCTCTAAGAGTAGTATATATTTGAAAATGTTTTCTGTTAATTCTTGTAAAGGCTAACAAATATAGGAATTGTGTGACACTCATAAGTCGTATCTCGTATACAAGTTGTGCCACGTGGATGAAAACCAAATAAAATAACAATAACATAATTTACGAAAATTTTAAAACCATTTTACGATAAGTTTATGCAACAGAATTTAAAACATTTAAACCGTTACTCAAAAAACATACACGTCCGAGATAACACTTATCAAAACAATATAAGTATGGGATCACAGTCCTAAGTCCAAATACAAATCCAAAAACCGTATGTAGTGAATGTTGCTCTCGAATCGTCATCCACGCCGCTACTCGTGCTCTTTGTAATCTGAAAATGTTAATCAATGAGGACTAACCATAACTGCTTAGTGAGTGACCTGAGTTGAATCCGGAGATCCCGTTCTCATAAAGAACGGTGTCAATCAATATTTCTAAACAACAATTATAACAACAATAATAATAAATCACATTATCACAAAAATTTCCAAAATCACAAGCATACTCATATGATCACCATCATAGGGTTAATCCGTCAAGTCTTCATCAACAGAATAGTACTGACTCAATTCGTCAACCGATACTATTCATGTGATACGTTAAGTAATCCCAGATGTGTGATACTGACTCAATTCGTAAACCAGTACCATCACAAGCCCTCACCAAATAGTCGTGCTGACTCAATTCGTCAACCATCACGATGACATGGTTCCTCGATACTCATCAACATAGTAGTATTGACTCCACGCCGTCGATCGGTACTAACTACGTGAATCACTGAACCGCCGACCAGCATAGTGATACTGACTCAGTTCATCTACCGGTACCACTGTGTGTCAAACACAACCGTCTCGCACAGTGCTAACTCCAAGTTCATCAACCGGCACTGGCTCCACGATACTTATCCTCAAAATAGTAGTAACTCCACTTCGTCCACCGGTACTATTACGGGACACACATTTCTGAAATAGTAATGACTCTACTTCGTCAACAAGTACTATTTCAGGAATATCCATATGACACACCAGTACTGACTCCACTTCGTCAACCCATGCTAGTTACATGTTCCTTCCCAACGTACTAGTACCGACTCTATACAGTCAACCGGTACTAGATACATGGTTCATCGAGGTAACCCAATCACAAACATGCTTCCCTCGTACTACACCACAACCCCGTCATAGGCCACATGAGTAAGCTACAATCATGACAATTAATGTATATGTATATCCATCCCAATACTACATTCATGTGGGTTCCAATAACCGGTCCTAACTGGTATATATACTATTTGACGCCATGCAATACTATCCCATCATTTCACACATGAGTGACTCTCAATGTTATATCACACAATCATCACGATTTACTTTTTCTTGCGTTTGAGTTCAATCCTTTGTTCCAGAGCATTCCCGCTTGTCCAAGCGAGTTATGTCCTTTTTTGAAGGTGTTGGGGCTATCTCGGACCAGGTCAAAATTTTGGATTCTGGACCGTCTGGACTGGAGGTCAGTCCGAGTTTTCTTGCCGATTTCAATCCATTTTCAATCCCAATAATTACTAATCCATAGTTAATCATTTATAGACTTATCTTAAGTCTAAAACACCCAAAGAAATGTCGATTTACACCATTGCAATATGAGAATTGAATCTCACAAATCCAACTCAAACCACTCACCTTTTCTTGTTTTGTTGGATCTTGACCGAGCTTGTGTGAACTCTTGAACTTCCTCACGTCGAGCACACCTCCAAGGAACGGCTAGGCATGTCCCTCTTTCAATTTTCGAGCTCCTTTCGCTCCAAATTCCCTCTCTTTTTCCCTCTTTTCTTCATTTCTCTTTCTACAGGTTCTTCTCTTCAAGGATGGCTAAGGAGAGGTCTTGGGAGGGTCTTAGTAGGCAAACGGGAGATCTAAGGGACGAGAGGGCGGGTCTAGGACGCAGCTGGTGTCTTCCACTAACGTTTTCATCCAAAGTCATACAATACAATTCTTCGTAAATTTATTATTAAAACCATTAATTATTAATTTTAATAAAAATAATTATCACCTGCCTAAATTATATACATTATAGTTTTTTCTAAACTATATACATTATAGTGAAGTTCTTAAACCAATCGGTTTGATTGGGATTAGTCTATCAACATAAACCAATTTGTGATTTTTTTTCCGGTTTAGATTCAATTTATAGTCTACGAAGAATTGTTAGGGGTTACATAAACATAACCATAGTTTTCAGTGTATTGCACATAATAAAATATCACCTGAAAATGTTATGCCTTTATTCATGATCAAAGAGAATCTGCCATACAAATAGGATAAAACCCATAAAAATGTCTGAAATTCAAAAAAAAAAAAAGGTCGACATCATCATTGGGGTAGAGTCTCATATAACAACAAACAAAAACAAAATAAAACACAACACAGGTGAATTATATATTAAAACTGTAAAGAAAATCAGGCCAAATATCACTGACGTCCTTTGAGAAAATCCCTGCAGAGCTTCTCCCAAAGCTTCCTGTCCGGTCCTGTGCCCTCCATTGTGGCCCTCGCCGCATCAGCAAATTCTTGCTGCATGTTACAGAAAGATATTACAGGGGAAAAAAAAGAAACAAATGCCAAGAATTACAACCTCTAGTTCGATTTCATTGATTCGACATGATCAGATTATTTGAGAGGGGAAAGGAAACAAACCTTGACGAAACCTAAACCAAGAACACGGTCAATGATGAAGAATAGAATCTCTGCGTTGTATTCGGGATGGCCTTGGATGCCTAAGAAGTGATCTCCAATGGAGAACATCTCGACATCGTACTTTTCAGAAGAAGCAATGACTTTTGCACCTTCAGGGAGTTCCAACACTTCATCTCGGTGGCATTTAATGATGCTTAATGATGTCGGAATTCCATCCATGTATTCACCGATTTTGGCTGCTTCATTCACTAGGGTTATCGTCCCTAACCCTAGAACCGGTCCATTGCGAGCTGGCCCCACTTTCCCTCCCTTTACTCTGCATATAATCTGAAGAACGCAGAAGAAATCCAGTTATTTCAAGCTCATGGGCATGTGGGCATGAGATCAAAATACGAACAGATTCATTTCATAGTACCCAGATTCCACGATCATTTCAAATCTCGAATTCTCAGCATTTGCTCAAAAGGGTCAACTCCATATCGACGAAAAGTGTTGAGATCGAGATCTAACCTGGTGTCCGAAGCAGATGCCGAGGAGCTTCTTCTTCATCTGATCGAGCTTCTCGACGAGGGAACAGAGCTTGAGGATCCAATCGTCGTCTTTGAAAGCATCATGAGCGCTACCACTGATGACGAAACCGTCGTAGCTATCGAGATCTTTCTCGTCGGGAAATTCTCCGGCGACGACAGGAAACGAATCCCAATGCTCTCCTTCTTCGGCGAGGAGGGATTTGAAGACGTTGAAGTAACCTCCGTATGTGTCCTTCACGAAATCCCTGTCCTCTGTTGCCAGAAGCAGACAATATCTCTTTTGTCCAGCCATTTTCTTCTTCTTCTTCTTCTTCTTCTGGTTTTGACGATGGAGGGGTATGAGGGTGGAGAGAACGGGAATGCGGAAATACGTATTTATTTGTACATTTTGCATGGGTAGGTTAATTTTACCTAACAATGTTTTTTTTTTGTTTTATTCTCCACGTTTTTTTAATTTTTTTCGATTGATTCTTTCTTAAATTAGAGCTAGGGTTTATACCATCTTTTTTATGATGTTTTTAGATAAAATTGACGTCACAATTTTGATATTATCGATGGTATTGTTGGATTGATTCTTTCTTAAATTATACCTAGGATATATACCAACTTTTTTTTTCTATATTTTGTTATGCATCTGATAAGTGATAGATTTGTTTCCTTTAATAATAAACTTATATTAATTTTTTATATATTTGGTATTTTATTTGATAACTGATATATTTTATTCCTGTAATAACGAAACCCAAAGATAAAATATGACACTGATTTTGAACATTTACTCGAGTAATTGAAATTCTCATATCTTGAAAATATATTTCGATATATTTTTATTGTTCAAATTTAATATTTATAATATTTGTGTGTGTGTGTGTGTATACGTATATGTAAATATATGTATGTGTATATGTTTATCTGTGTATATATATGTTTATATGTGTGTGTGTGTATATATATATATATATATATATATACATATATATATATATATATATATATATATATATATTACATTCAAAATGGTGTTTGAACGAACAAAATAAAAATCAGTTAAAATCACGTCAAATCCTATATATCACGTAGCATCTAAATTGCCGGAATATTTAATCAAGTTGATTAACGATTTAATTTGAAAACTTTTTAGAAATTTAAGATTTTTATAGAATATTTTGAAATTTTGAGAATATTTATATTGTAAAAATTAAAGGCTTTTTCTTGTAATTTCATTGTTTTATTTTTTATATATTTTCTTTATTATAATTACTAATTACAATTCATCACATTTATTTCTAGCTAGTTACGGGCATTTCAATACGATATCTTAGAACCGAACTGTACCAAAATATAAAATGCGATATCGTTCTCGTACTGAATCATCCAAAATTCACGAATGTGATTTTTTTTAAAAACTCGAATTTTTCAAAATCGAATCGAAATAATTTTTTTAAAAACTCGAAAACTGAAAATTTATTAAGAGAATCTATTTTTTTTAATAAAAACCGAATTCGAATCAAAACCAAAATTAAACCGAACCGAATATAAATATATATATAATTTTTTTATTGAAAACAATTGTTTTCAAATGAAAATCGAAAGTGGATATAATCAAATAAAAAAAAGAAAAATAAATAAATATAATTTTTTCAAATAAAATATGAAAAAACACCATTGAAATATAATTAAAATCTTAAATATTTATCTAGTTGTAGATTTGAACTATTTATAATCTTGATTTTGTTTTTTGTTTATCTTTTTTCTTAAAAAATGTCCGGTTTAGATTAGATCCGATTAGAGAAAAAATTCAAAGACTTTCAAAATATTATATAGTTTCGAAACGAATTCAAACGGATTTGGTTTTCTTCGATTTTTATAGGAAATATTACAATGCGTCTTCGATATATTCCAACCGAAATGGTTGTCGAGATTAGAGGTTTCATAATCTAATTAGTAATTATCATTGTTTTAGTAATGAAGAATTATGTATTATATAGAATAGGAAAAAAATGCTAAATTGATATAGAAAGGTTACCTCATATGTAAAAATAACCCAAAGGTGCATTTCAAGCGGCTGAAAGCATCGAGGATTTTGAATAGAAATCCAATTGATAAAGGCAGCGATGTTGCATGATAGTATGGGCTTACCTATGGGCTCTTTTGGGCCATTTATGGGCCTCTTAATACACTATCAATTAAATCACACCTCTATATTTAAAATTTGTAATTTCATAAAAATATTATTTAATCACTGATTAGAATTTCAAGTCAAATACGATAATATTTTAGCCCAAAAATTTAAACAGAAGAACAAATATCATGCGCATGCGTACCTTTTTCCTCCTCTTTGCTTCATATATATATATTTTTTGTGTTATTTTCCTTTTACCTTTATTTTAGTATGGTTTTATATTTTCCCAAATAATGAAAAAAACCAAAAAACTTGCAAAGAAAAAGTAAAAAACTTGGCCAAAAATAACACACACATCCACACAAATCTTCTTCTTCTTTAGGCACTTTTTACTTTAACCTCTCGCCCTTTGCCATCGTTCCTTTTTATTGAAAACAATTGTTTTCAAATGAAAATCGAAAGTGGATATAATCAAATAAAAAAAAGAAAAATAAATAAATATAATTTTTTCAAATAAAATATGAAAAAACACCATTGAAATATAATTAAAATCTTAAATATTTATCTAGTTGTAGATTTGAACTATTTATAATCTTGATTTTGTTTTTTGTTTATCTTTTTTCTTAAAAAATGTCCGGTTTAGATTAGATCCGATTAGAGAAAAAATTCAAAGACTTTCAAAATATTATATAGTTTCGAAACGAATTCAAACGGATTTGGTTTTCTTCGATTTTTATAGGAAATATTACAATGCGTCTTCGATATATTCCAACCGAAATGGTTGTCGAGATTAGAGGTTTCATAATCTAATTAGTAATTATCATTGTTTTAGTAATGAAGAATTATGTATTATATAGAATAGGAAAAAAATGCTAAATTGATATAGAAAGGTTACCTCATATGTAAAAATAACCCAAAGGTGCATTTCAAGCGGCTGAAAGCATCGAGGATTTTGAATAGAAATCCAATTGATAAAGGCAGCGATGTTGCATGATAGTATGGGCTTACCTATGGGCTCTTTTGGGCCATTTATGGGCCTCTTAATACACTATCAATTAAATCACACCTCTATATTTAAAATTTGTAATTTCATAAAAATATTATTTAATCACTGATTAGAATTTCAAGTCAAATACGATAATATTTTAGCCCAAAAATTTAAACAGAAGAACAAATATCATGCGCATGCGTACCTTTTTCCTCCTCTTTGCTTCATATATATATATTTTTTGTGTTATTTTCCTTTTACCTTTATTTTAGTATGGTTTTATATTTTCCCAAATAATGAAAAAAACCAAAAAACTTGCAAAGAAAAAGTAAAAAACTTGGCCAAAAATAACACACACATCCACACAAATCTTCTTCTTCTTTAGGCACTTTTTACTTTAACCTCTCGCCCTTTGCCATCGTTCCAATTTTGTATATGTGTACATATATATATATATATATATATATATATAATTTTTATTTTTTTCATTTTTCATTATCGTTTATTTTTTATTAGTATTATTAGAATTTTTCATATTTTTATTATTTAATTCTATTAAATTCTATACGGTAAATGATGTATGGGATGACTAAACAAAAAATATTATCATGTATATTTTTTATTAATCAATTTTGTGTCTAGGTATTTATTTGGTAATTTCTAAAAATATAGATATTTTATTATTAGATATTATATGGTTTGATATAATAAAAAAATATAGAATTTTTTTTTAGAATTTTCTCTTATCTTGTTTAATCGGCAAATTATTTTTCCCATTTATGCCTTTCAAAAGAGATCCCATTGGTCTCCTCCTTTACCGTAAGCCGACACAAAAAACGTTGAAGTAACCTCCGTACGTCTTCTTCACGAAGCCTGAATCTGGCATCGCCATAAACAGACCGTATCTTCTTCTCTTCTCTGCCATTTTTCCCGGTGACTGACTTTGAGAGAGAGAGAGAGAGAGAGAGAGAGAGAGAGAGAGAGAGAGAGAGGGGGATTAAGTGGGGAAAGTTACTTTGGTTCCGTTTTCGGATACGGTAACCAAGCTCTTAAACCAATCGGTTTGGTTCGGTTTAACCGATCAACATAGCATTAACCGATTTACTCGGTTTAAATTCGATCCAATTATCAAACAGTACGTGGAGAATGTGTAGACGTTACATAAGCACACGTATAAGCGTACTTTTCAGTTTATCGTACATAATAAAATATCACCTGAAATGTTATGTTTTTATTCATGAATAAGGAGAGAGTGTTTAATAAAATCTTACATAAATTTCTCACTAGAAAAAAGGGTCAACAAAATACAAAAAATAAAACATAACACAAGTGAATCATATATATATATATATATATATATATATATATATATATATATATAAAAGCATATCAGAGCTGTCCTTTGAGAAAAGTCTTGCAAAGTTTCTCCCAAAGCTTCCTGTCTGGTCCTGTCCCCTCCATTGTAGCCTTCGCCGCGTCAGCAAATTCTTGCTGCATGTTACCAAAGATTACAAAATGAAAAAAAAATGGCAAGAATTTCATTCCACCAATCAATGACTCGATCGACATCTAGGCTGGAAGGGAAACGGACCTTGATGTAACCCAAGCCAAGAACACGGTCGATGATCTCGAAGAGAATCTCCCTGTTGTATTCGGGATGGCCCTGGATGCAAAAGAAGTGATCTCCGATGGAGAACATCTCGACATCGTACTTGTCAGAAGAAGCGATGACTTTGGCAGATTCAGGGAGTTCCAACACTTCGTCCTGGTGGCATTTGATGATGTTTAAAGATGTCGGAATTCCATCCAAGTATTCACCGATTTTTGCTGCTTCATCCACTAGGGTTATCCTCCCTAACCCTAGAACCGGTCCATTACGAGCTCGCCCCACCTTCCCTCCTTTTACTCTGCATATAATCTGAAGAACGCAGAAGAAATCCAATTAATTTCAAGTTCATAGATCGATCCATGGTCATGTCGGCATGAGATCAATGTAGCAGACGATCTAGTCTATGCATTTACCTAGGAA